CAGCTCCCAAACTTCAAGCCACCTGAAATGAAGCCAAGTAGAGCAGAGACTAGCAGTTCCCTAAGGGCTCTGTACAGTGTGCAGATTAATGATTAAAATAAATGTTTTATTGTTCTAAGACTCAGCCACTAAGTTTTGGTGTGGTGTGTTATGCAGCAATGGGGACTACCTGATCATCCTATACACAAAAGCAGAAAACAATGCCATTGCAAAATAACATTGACCCACATAGAGTCCTGCACCCACAGCAGCACAACTAGAATCCTCTAGCTCAGCAGTGCAGTACCTATTTCTCAATCACAAGTCAACTACACTGCTTCCTTCAGTAGCATCATTCACCACCTCTTTTCTCATGATCGAAGTTGTAAAAGACCGAAATCATGACTCCTGCAGCTTGACAACAAGCTTGTCTTGAGCAGATAATCAATCCTCCTTCCATTCCACCTTCTAGGGCTGCAAAGGGATGACACCATTCACACCAGTACCTCCTACATGATTGGTTGTCAGGAATTGTCACAGACTGTAAATTCCAATAAGGCCCACAACAATACAAGGATACTTCAAACGGTTCATGGCAGAATGGAATTAAATGATAATATGAATCTTCCCATGAACTTTTTGAAGACCTCTCGTATTCTGGTGATGCGTATTAAGAGAACTTTGCCACTTACCCTTCAAGAGGTAGAGTCTATTTCCCTCCCTCTTGAAACTGGGCAGGCCTTTGGGAGTTACTTGATAAATAGAATGCAGCAGAAATGACGCTATATTTTCCAAGGCTAGAGTAGGAAAGGCAACAGAACTTCCTCCTAAATCTTTCTCAAGATGCTCACCCTGGAACCCAGCCACCATGCCGTGAGGAATCCAAGCAGCTACATAGAAAGGCCACAGCTAGATTTTCCAAACACAGACCAGCTGAGCCTCCAACCAACAGCCAGCATCAACCACCACACACAAAAGTGAGCAAGCCTTCACATGATTCCAGCTCCCAAACTTCAAGCCACCTGAAATGAAGCCAAGTAGAGCAGAGACTAGCAGTTCCCTAAGGGCTCTGTACAGTGTGCAGATTAATGATTAAAATAAATGTTTTATTGTTCTAAGACTCAGCCACTAAGTTTTGGGGTGGTGTGTTATGCAGCAACAGGGACTACCTGATCATCCTATACACAAAAGCAGAAAACAATGCCATTGCAAAATAACATTGACCCACATAGAGTCCTGCACCCACAGCAGCACAACTAGAATCCTCTAGCTCAGCAGTGCAGTACCTATTTCTCAATCACAAGTCAACTACACTGCTTCCTTCAGTAGCATCATTCACCACCTCTTTTCTCATGATCCAAGTTGTAAAAGACCAAAATCATGACTCCTGCAGCTTGACAACAAATATTTACAGAGAATTGTACATGACAGGTGCTTTATAAACCTTGTCATTTAATCCTCATTGCTGCTGTATAGTTTAATTTAGTCTCTCCATTCAACAGATCAGAATACAAAAGGTAAAGAAATGAAATAATTTCTTACTTAAATCTCAGTAAGTGGCAGATTTATATTTTCTAGTTGGATGTAGTATATATCTATGATATATACATTATATTACTATCTATATTTGGATATAGGATATACCTATTATATATATATACCCGTATATAAAATATCTAGCTGGATATAGTATTCTATATATGTCAATTTGCTCACCTCTACCATTAATGATTTCTAGTCTCCCTATACTAACACTTATTGAAAGATGTGCTAATCTCCAACAATTGTGGGTTTGTCCACTCATCCTTTCACTTTTGTTGACCTTTGGTTTTTATGTCTTGAAGCTGTTATCGAGTGATATTGTGATTACTATATCTTCTTTTTGGGTTTAAAGTTTTATCATTATAAAATTTCTCTATGTTGTCTCATATTTCTTGCCTTAAACTCTATTTTTTCCTGATATTAATTTAGAGACACCAGCTTTTCTTGGTTTGTGTTTGCATTATATCTCTTTCATACTTTCAAGTTTTCTGTGTCAGCTGCTAAAAGCATATGGTTGATTTTGTTCTTTTCATCCAGTCTGACAATAGTTTCCTTTTTATTGGAGTGTTTAGTATACTTTCCTTAAATTTAATTACTAATAATGTTGGGTGTAAGTTCATCAATATTTGTTCCTATTTGTCTCTGTTTTTTTGTTTTTGTTGTTCTTTTATTCCACCATTCTTACCTTCTGTTTTATAGTCAAATAATTTTATTGTTTTCCTTATTAGTTTATACCATTTGCATTATTCTTTTAGTAATTACCATAAAGATTGCAATATTAAGCTTAACTTATTACAAATAAGACTCTCATGCAGTGCTTGTGAGAGCATAAGAATAACCACTCTGGAAATCTGGCCAGCACTGTCTACAAAAACTAAACACACAATATATGACCCAGCAATTCCAACCCTGTGTATCTCTACAGCAAAAATGAATGCTTATGTCCACAAAAGACATGGATAATTATGGTCATAGCAGCA